ATACTTAATAGTTTCTTATTGAACGTGGTATTTATTGGAGTATTTCTATTACATTTAATAGTTTATATATATATATATATATATATATCGGGTTGCACGCCGCAACAGATTTATTTAAAGTTTATATGGGGGAACGGGTTGCACGCCGCAACAGACTTATTTAAAAGTCTATATTCGGGGATCGGGTTGCACGCCGCAACACACTTGTATAAAGTTTATATTGGGGGAACGGTTTGCACGCCGCAATGGAAACAAGTTGAGGGATTGTGATTGCTGAGTTGATTTCAATCATTAATATTATTTACTGGTCTTACTAATATTTTCGTTATTATTATTGTTGTTATTACTACTATTGCGTACAGGTAATGTAAGTGACCCGTCTTAGCCTCGTCACTACTTCGCCGGGGGTTAGGCTCGGCACTTACCAGTACATAGAGTCGGTTGTACTGATACTACACTCTGTACTTCTTGTGCAGATTTCAGAGTTGGTTACAGAGGCGTACTGCAGATTTGCCCGGATACAACTACCAGTGGAGACTTGAGGTATAACTGTACAGCGTCCGCAGTTCTGAAGTCCCCTTCTATATTATCTCAGGTGTGTATTATATTTCAAACAGCTTGAATTTTATTCAGACCTTTATTTGTATTATTCTAGAAGCTCGTGCACCTATAACTCCAGTTCTGGGATAGTATTTAGATATCACGATTATTATGGAATACTCACTTTATTTCAAACTTTATTTCCACATTTATTTTCTTGTTATTAATTAATTTAAATTTTTGTTAAAAATGGCTAATTATATTTTAACGTTGGAAATGTTAGACGTCATCACGATCCCTAAGGTGAAAAATTTTGGGCCGTGACAAAAAAACCACCAAAAAAATCAATTATTGTGGACCGGATAGAGTATTATTTATGCTTATAACTAGAGAAGTGTCGAAAGTTGTTTTTGTTTGTTTTTTTGGTGGTGTTCTTTTACTACTATGCTTAATGGTGTAGGAAAGCATGACTCATGTGTTTATTATGAAAACATATAGATTTGTTCATTATATATGTTTTACTATATAGATATTTTTAGCTGTTCAATGAAGCAGTTCTTTTGAATATATATTTCTTTTAATTTAATCTCTTATTACATATTGTACCTATCAAAAAAAAACTTCATAACTTCATACAACATCATCATTATGTTTTCAACTGTCAAAGTTTTTCGAGTAAGTTTACCATTCATTATTGAGCTTGTATTGTTTTTCTTTACAATTTGTTATGCGCACTCATTTTAATGTAATTTTGTGCCACTTTAAAAAGTTTCTACTTAACTTGGTTAGTATACACTAAGAACTAGTATATATATATATATATATATATAAAGAACATTATGGTTAGAAACGCCGACTTATGGGCTTAGCAGAAGAATAAGGAAGGGAGGGTCTGGGTGGGTGGGGTTATTGTTTTTCTTTTTTTTTTTCCTCTTAAAAATAGTTTTTGTTTTTGTTTTTTTCCTTATAATTCATTTTATTAATTATTATTTTGGACCCAAATACCAAATGTCATCAGTTAATTCGTCAATTTGCCACATCATTGACGAGTGTATTACACTCTCTCTAGTTTTTTGCTGGTTATCAAAAAAGTGTCTAATTGGTTCAAATTTTGAGTAGATAAGGTGTCTAAAACGAAAACCCGGATAAGTTTAGGGGGTTGTGCATGATTTTAATTGGTTTGGCTTTCTTCAAACCACAACTAAAGCTATTCTAAATGACAGAAGAAATCAGAGGCCGAGCCACAAAGTACTGAATTTCTTCTTTTAGCATTTGCAAATACAATTATTTTATTTGTTTTTACTCTGTACCTATAATTAATTTATGGTGCAGGTATGCAGTAGTTACAGGGGCAAACAAAGGGATTGGATTCGCAATATGCAGGCAGCTTGCTTCCCAGGGAGTAGTTGTGGTTTTGACTGCTAGAAATGAGAAGAGAGGGGTTGAAGCTCTAGAGAAGCTCAAAGGGTTAATTGGTTTAGCTAAAGAAAATTTGGTGTTTCAACAGCTTGATGTTATGGATCCTTCCACTATTGCTTCTTTGGCTGAATTCATTAAGACTCAATTTGGCAGGCTTGATATCTTGGTAAGAAGCATAGCTATGTTCTTGATTTTAATTTCTTGTTTATNCCTAAATTAATTAGAAACACAATCAATGGTGATCTCTTTGATAACTTTTTAGTCATTTTATGTTACATATACATATATTCAAAGAAATAGTAACAAATTGGAGTAATAATTATGCAGGAAGAGGGTGGTATTAAGAAATCAATTGCAGGTATTGAGCGTATTGTTACAGATTATGAGTTGACAAAATAATGCCTAGAGACAAACTTCTATGGTGCAAAAAGAATGATTGAAGCATTTATTCCCCTCCTTCAGCTCTCTAATTCCCCAAGAATTGTTAGTGTCGCTTCTTTCTTGGGGAAGTTAAAAGGTAATGAAATCATAACTGTATATATCATAATATGTGTACCCTCTAAATTATGTTGAGGTTAACTTCTATATACCGATAGTAGAACGGGCAAATGAGTTGTTTGGTTTGTATTTGGGCACTGACTCATTAAATGAGTCATTGTCCAATTCTGCCTAAAGTTCACTTTGGTTAAGATGGACCGGTCACGATGGTTGTAACCCAACTCGCCCATATTGATGCAAATCTTTGCAATAACCTCAACTTTTAAATAAACATTATAAAATATTCTCACATATATAACAACAACAACAACAACCCAATATAATTCCACTAGTGGGGTCTGGGGAGAGTAATGTGTACGCAGACCTTACCCCTACCCTGGGGTAGAGAGGTTGTTTCCGATAGACCCTCGGCTCCCTCCCTCCAAGAACTCCCCAACCTTGCTCTTGGGGTGATTCGAACTCACAACCTCTTGGTTGGAAGTGGAGGGTACTTACCACTAGAGCAATCCACTCTTGTCCTCACATATATAACAATATTTTTTATTTATTTTTTTCGTAAATATCATTCTGCAATGGTTTATGATGATGAATTTTTTTTTCTTTTTTTCCTGTTGATTCTTGTCTTNCAGAGTTTTTTGAAATTTTAACACATCAACATAGCTGCATTTTTTCCGTTTGGCGTGATTTAACTTTTAAGGTTTTTGGCCTATACATGCTTGGCCCATAGGAATGATAAATTCTGAAGTAAAACTATGATTAAAACGTTTAGAACTACACAATTCTGCCTTTAATTGTCTTTTTTAGAGAATCCAATGCATATGCCATCTATTCTTTTTAGATTGGAAAAATCATAGATTACTGAAATCTTGCCGTTAACTACACCTTTGTTCTCATCAATTTATTGATTTTCTACATTATGTTCTCCTGCCTTTAACTTAAAGACTTAATCTTTCACTCTACTAGCAACAAAAATGAAGAAAATAGACCCCGAGGAAATCCTAATAGTAGTAGTGTTAGACTGATTTTGTTGTATATAAATCATGATCTGACCTTATTCTTGTCGATTTTCCTTTTGTCTTTAAATGATAAAGGGTATCTTTGTCTGCATAATATGTTAACAAACACAAGAAACTTAATGTAATGTAAGTAAGCTAGGATATTTATGAAGCTTGATAGTTTAAAAGGGCAGCCCGGAGCACTAAGCTCCCGCTATGCGGGGGGGCCCGGGGAAGGGCCGAACCACAGGGGTCTATTGTACGCAGTCTTACCCTGCATTTCTGCAAGAGGCTGTTTCCAAGCAGCTTGTTAGTTTCAATCTTCTTTTTCATGTGGTGACAAGTTTGTCATGCTTTCCTAAGTGTCAGTACCCCGATGTTGGTAATTGGATAATCTCTATGAGTAGCTGACTGAAATTCTCTAATTGCATTTCCA